AGTCACACACCCCATCAGCTGGGATTTTATGGTCACGCTTTCCCCCCAGCTTTTGCCACAGGGAGTAAGCCATCATCAACTATGCCAATCAGAACTGAGGTGGTCCAGGTTTCTAAGTGTACTTGTGGGTGTGTGGGGGTGCCCTGGCAGTGTTGTCCAGAGACCTGGTGTGGCTGGAGACCCGGCTTGTATGCTGCTCAGTCCTGAGACCGTGGGCAGGGCCTTGTCTGCCACACAGGTTGGCTAGACACCCCGAGAGACATGACACAGCCACGAGACATGTTAGGTAACAGACAGAAGGCACTGTGTGACAACACACTGTTGGCATCTGGGGGTTCCTAAGAGAAGAACACTGAGCTCAGGTTAAGAGACTAGAGATGACAGGTAGGGACAGTGGGGGCAGGGACAAGCAGTGTGGAGAGCTTGTGAATGTGTGGGTTTGACAAGGTGTGTAAGTGTGTGTATGTGATCATGTGACTATGTGACACTGTATGTGTAACAGTGTGTGTGACAATGTGTATGTGTATAATAGCATGTGACTGTGTGACTGTGTATTACTGTGTGACAGTGTGTGACAATGTGTGACGTTGTATGTATGTGACAGTATGTATGTGTATACATGTGATAGTATGTGTGTGTTGGAGGAGAGTCCTGAACCAGCCCTTACAGGTGTCTTTAGTGAATGACCAGGCAGAGAGCTGCCTTTGGCTAGAACGGGGGGCTCATCCTGGCCTCGCTCCACACACATGGGAGGGTGCCCGGCGCTGCTCTGGTGACATGCTGTACTTGGCAAGAGCCCAGGAGGGTCAGGATGGCCTGCCTTGACCCTCTCCTGACACAGAATCAAACTGCTCTGCTCCTTGCAGCCACTTGGGGCAGTCTGTTCTATGGTGGGGACCCCTGGGCGTGCTGGCCTAAGCTCGGGGCCCAGGTGGGCGGGTGACCCATTCAGGGTGCAGGGTGAGCAGGAGACAGCCTCATCTGTGTCACTGTGTGGGCCTTGCTGTTCTGACCTACAATCTTGGCCCCCTCGCTCCCTCACGGATGGGTTGGAGAACCAGTCAGGTGCTGGGTGGTGCCCTGGTGGGGTGTGGGCGTGGCCTGTGAATGGCTTGTCCCCGTGGGCAGCCTGGCAGCTGTGAAGCAAATACGTGCAGGTGTGGAGCATAGTGCTGGGCACGGGCAGCCAGGCTTCAGAGCAGGTGGCAGCCTGGGGTGAGTGGGCTCCAGGGACAGCTGTGGGCAGCAGGACCAGGGTGGGCAGCTGGTGGGGCGGGGAGCTGCAGGGCATCCTGGACACATTGGCGCTTCCATCCCGGAGGCTGGGAGAGAGGCCAGGAGGCACGTTCTGGGTGTGGTGGCTCCACACTAGGGGGGTTTGTCCTGACGTGCACTTGGAGTTTTGGGAGGTTAATGAGAGTCAGATTGTGTCTTGGAAGGATCCCTCCGGCAGCCCCGAGGACTTGGGGTGGAAGTGCGGGCGGCAGCAAGAAGGCCCCTGAACACTCAGATGGCTGGCAGTGAGCCGGGAGCCCATCAGCTAAGAAGCAGGTATGGCGTCCTGAGTGCTAGGCTTGGCAGGACCAGTGACCATGTGGCAGCTGTGTGGCCCTCCCTTTTCCTCTGAGGCAGCACCTGTGCTGCACTTGGTGCCTTCAGATCTCCAGATTTGGGGGTGAAACCACCTGGAAGTGACAGTCTCACAGTGTTGTGAAGACAAGGAATGACCCAGATGGCTCATTAATCGATGGGATGAGGTCACGGCCCTGGCAGAGAGAAGATAGCACGGAGCCACACCCGCCAAGTCGTGGCAGGGTTGCACAACCTCCCCCAGCTGCCAGCTGCAGTGCCGAGTCCCAGGCCAGTACAAGTGGCTGACAAGCAGAACTGGCCCACCGCCTGGGTAGGAAGCGGGTGCTATCCACTCCCAGGCCAGCACAGCGAGCTCACATACTGGTCCTCATTGGCGGGACCACCCATCAGCCACTCCAGAGAGAGGCTGAGGATGAAACCTCTGGCTTGCCTCTGCCAGATGACAGTGAGGGGCACAGGGGTCCCCTTCCCCTTCTGATGAGATGAGTGCTATGTGGTCTAAGGACAGGCAGGCCCTCTCCCCAGCCCCCCGGCCAGTCTGGGAGGGCTGCTTCTATTTGTAAGCCGTTGGGCATCTTGGTTGTAGAGAGCCAGCCTGAGCCCACCTGGCTCTCGCCCCGCTGCAGATCCCAGCGAGCGTGTGGCACTCTGTGCAATGCTGAGCCCGTCTTTTCTTGCAGCCATCTCCCCACCAGCTGTCCATTACTTCTAGGTGGTATGTCCCTTCATTCTCCTTCCTGGCCGAGCAGGACCACCCCTTCATCCCCAGGATGTGCTGAGTCCCTGTAGCTCCCCGAGCACTCAGCATTTGCAAGCCTTCTCTGGAGCGCTCCGTTCTTAGCGCACGGCTTGCTCTCAGTTCTGCGTTGTTCTAGAGCGTAGGCTCTGTGGCCGGCTTGGGGTCATCCTGCTGCCCCTGTGGGGCTGGCCTGTGGCAGGCCTTAACCGTGTGCTGCCTGGATTATGTTTGGAGAGGAGGTGCTCTCGTGAGGCCCAGAGCAGCGTAGGGCATGCCTGTGTCAGGGATCAGGCAGGCTGTGCATGTGAGTGAGCGTGTTTCAGGGAGCAGACCCACCAGCGGCGGGCCCCTTGTTTGGGACGCAGTCAGATGCCGAGGGGTCTGCCAGGGCACGTGCTCAGTGAGTGTGAAAGGCCTGTGTCAAGGTAAGGGCATTCTGGCCTCTGATCTCAAGAGCTGTTGAGCTGAGCCAACTGGAGGCAAGGTTAAAGCCCAAGGGACAGCTGGTGTCCATGGCATTGGGTCAGCTCACCCATACCTTCCCATCACTCTCTGGCCTCAGACCTCCCTATAATCTCCCATCTAAAGCATCTGCGTCTGGCTCACCATCGCCGGGCAGGTGCACTCGTGGTACTAATTTCATAGTGCGCCCAAGTCTCCACAGCACGCGTGTGGACGCCCTGCCAGGGTGGTCGTGTGGTCTCTGCTCTGAGAGGCTGTCTCAGTCCAGACAGCTTCTGTGCTGTCCCTTCATCTCCCTGGCCCTGCTGGCAATCTGAGTGTTTCTTTGAACAGAATCCCAGTGGTTGAAGGATCAGCCTTGGGAAGAGGGAACAGGAAAGAGGGTATCGTATTTAACCCACAGTGAGCAGTGCCAGGTCTGGGCAGTAGAAGGTGCCTCCACTGGTCAGGCTGGTGGCCCACCAGAGGCCCTGTGTCACAGTGAGATGGGGGAGTGAGGTGGAAGGTGGGGCTCCCCTCTGGTGGCCCTGTGGCAGGCTAAGATGGAGTGAGGTGACACTCATGATGGCATCCACGTAGCAGTATTCTTATAGTGGTACTTGGGGCAGTATTCAGTTGTACTGTGGTGGTGGCAGTCCTGGCAGCTCCCCTCTGGTGGCCCCGTGTCACAGTGAGATGGGTGAGGTGGCACTCGGGATGGCATCCATGCAGCAGTATTCTTGTGTGGTACCCACGGCGCCACTCAAGTGGCAATGCTCACAAGGAGTACTGTAGCCACCCTCCCCTGGCAGCGCTCACGTGGCGGCATGTGTGCAGAAGTACTCACATGGAATTACTGTGGCCATACCAACGCGGCAGTGCACGCAGCGGCACGGCGTTGGTACTCGTGGTGGCACTCTGGCAGCAGTCCTGATGCAGCACTGCTCACGGAGCGGCACTGGAGCCCTGCTGGCGTGGCGGTGTTCACACGGTCCTCCTCTCCGTCTCATTGAGCTGCACCATATCCTTGCATCCCTGAAACTCGCTTCCCTCTTTCCAAGAATTCTTCAGTTGTTCTACCATGCTGTCTTCCCTCCCTCAATTCATTATTGGTTGCTTGTCATCCTTCCCTGTTTCTAGATCTTGAGAACTTGACTTTTTAAATGTACTTAGTTAGCCTCCCTGGTGCCCGTCAACCATTGTTTCTCTTTTGTGCAGCCCTTTTCTTGACTGTTCACAGCAGTGATCTCATGGGTGTCTGTCCCTTTGTCACTGATAATCCCACTCAGCATGACGGCCTCTGCGCCTATCCACGTCGTTTCAGATTCTGCGTTCCTTGTCAACGCTGCACTGGACCGAGCTTTGCTGCTCCGTTCCTTCAGTGATGGGCATTGGAGTTGTTCCCATCTTTTTGCTCTTGTGAATAGTGCTCCGATGATCCTGGGTGTACATGTGTCTGTTCATATCTAGCTCTTATCTGTTCACCCCAGCACTAACAGCAGACTTCAAAATACCAGAAAACAACAAATGTTGGTGAGGGTGTGGAGACACTGGAGCCCTCGTGTATACTGTTGGTGGGACTGTAAAACAGTGTAGCCACTGTGGAAAACGGTATGGTGCTTCCTTCAAAAGCTGGAATAGAAATACCATATGATACAGCAATCCTGCCACTAGGTGCATATCCTAGAGAAGAGGGTTTAATTTTTCAACTCATTTTTGTGTCTTTGTCTGACTGTCACTCCCTGAGGGCCTCTTGATCTCCCTCTCAAGCTCCAGGGAAGTGCTGCCTCCTCCCGTCCTGGCCCAGCCCTCCCCTGGCCTCTCTCAAGCCTTCCTTGGAAATAACAGTGACAGTGATTCCAGGAGGCTTGGACTGGTTACTGCCTGTGTCATACTCTGTCTTCTCCATGGTGAGCAGTTTTCTCCTGCTCCCTCTCGAAGATCTAGCATGTATTCTGAGCTAGCAGAATGACATGTTCACACACACACACACATGTTCGAACCAAATCAGACATGACCCTGAAGGAATTATTGATCAGACTGGAGTCCCGGAGTATGCAGTGCGATGCCTGGGCCCATGTCCTTGGTGGTGGGTTAATAAAATAGTGACAGACTATCACAACTCCCAGTGCAGTCCTCGTGCTCTGTGGCACCCTCCTCCCTGCTTGCATCTAGGGTGAGCAGGTTCGCTGATGGTGTCCTCTGTTTTGTCTGTCCGTTTGTCCAGGTGCTGCAGGGTGCCCAGCTAATTGCTGTGGCCTCGTCAGACCCCACAGCAGCAGGCGTTGACGGGTCACCTCTCCAGGGCAGTGACATCCAGGTCCAGTATGTCCAGCTGGCACCAGTGACTGACCACACCACCGCTGCACAGGTGCGTCCTCTCCTGCCCCCTCGCTTGGCACTCAGCGTGGCCTGTTGGGGAGACCCAGGTAAAGCCCCCCTTTCTCCTCCTGCAGACGGCTGAGAGCCTGCAGCCCTCCATGCAGCCTGAGATGCAGCTGGAACACGGGGCCATCCAGATTCAGTGAGGTGGCGCTGGCTACCGCGGACTTGTCTGCAACTACACCCACACGTGCTGTTCTCGCAGCCTCGTGCACGAAGGTGACTTCTGTGTCCGTCTGTCGGAGTGCATCTGAAATGCACCCATCCGTGGGAGAAGTGTCCCAGCAGGCAGGACGGTGACCACCACCAACACCTTCCCCTGGACGACCCTTTCTTTTGAGTCGTGCTGTTGGTGTTGGGAAAGTGACGGGAGCTCAGTGCGATGGCTTAAGCACTCACGGAAAAATCAAGAACAATGATATTTTTCTGTCTAAACAGCTTTTTTGAATTTGCTATGGTGTTTATAACAAAAAAGAAAATGAAAAAAAAGCGCAGCAGCAGAAGCCTTTTGCTGTTTGTTCTGGTGGGCGTAGGAACAGGTGTCTACAGAGACAGCTGACAACTCTGGTGGGGCTCTTGCTTACCGATTTTTCTAGGGAGATGCTCTCAAACACTGTAATTATGCGTTTCTAATGAAATAAAATGTATTTATGACCCAGCAGCTCTAGTGCTGTTTTGTATAAGTAATGGACAGGTTGGCCAGGCTGGCCTTCTGTCCTCAGATGGGTGGGTGTGTTTGCTCCCTACCCCACCCACTCTGGATCACAGCCCTGGGCCTTCTCAGTGGTGCTGGCGATAGTTGTAGGTGTCAGTACTTACAGATTTTTCAAACAAGTGCTCCCTCAGGATCCCACTCTCCATAATGGGCCTGGGTCGTCCCCGCCCTGCCCCAGTGGTTCAGGGAAGCAGGTGTCCAGGGTTCCTACAGTCACAATCACGTTCACGGTCCTGGCATCCGGGGCAGGAGGCAGTGGCCAGGATGTACAGCCCTATGGGAGTCCCCTCAGACCAGGTCCCCAGCCACACTTGAGCCCCATTCAGCATTCTGAGAGCTCTCACAAGCAAACTTCCATGGAATGTAGTCACACAAAGTGAGTCATGTCCTTCATCAGCCATTGTGAGTGGGACAGATGCCACCACTGCTGAAGGGGACAGTCCTGAGTCCAAGGAGAGCACCACGCCCACAGCAGGCAGCACAGTCAGAAAATGAAAAGAACAAGGAGCGAAAGCCATTGCTGGTGACATGGCAACAGTGGTGTGAGCTGTGTGTGCTGTGGCAGCCAGGTGTGGGGGTCCCCAATTCAAAGAATATGACGGACTGACACTTTTTCCAGAAACCACTCAAAGTTACCACCAAAACAACCACGTCTCTGCCACTCCACCAAGGCAGGATCATGGGGGGCTGAGGGCCAGAGGGAGGGGGACAACATGGGTACATGCCAGGCTTCCGTCTGTCTGCCAAGGACCTCTTGTCCTCCTGGACAGCCTTCCGAGAACAGCCGTTCTGTAGGAGAGGGAGAGTCTACAGGAGGCCACAGATGCTGATTCTAAAGAAACAGCTCACACAGCTGGGTGGCTGACAAGTCCCAAATCTGTAGATCAGGTGATAGGCTGTGAAGAAGAGCAGGACATTCCAGCAGAATGTCTCTTTAGAGGCACAGTCTTCCCTTAGGAAATCTCCAGGTTTCCCCTTAAGCCTTCAACTGATTGGATGAGGCCCACCACATGGAGGGTAATCTGCTTAACTTAAAGTCAACTGATTAAATGCTAATCACACGCAAATACCTTAATAGCAACATCTAGTGTTTGACTAAACAACTAGGCACCACAGCCCAGCCAAGCTGACACACAATTAACCATCACAATGCCAAAGATGTTTATGGAGGAAAAGTCACATTGAAAGACCTGGGAAATAATCTAATTAAAAGGAGGCCTGGCCTAAGATCTAACAGAAAGATAAGGGCAGGGACGAGATAATAAAAACAGCAATAATGACCTCTGTGACAGCTATGGGCTGAGTAGACTGTGCTGAGCATTGATATAAAGTGCTCTGTCCGTTTGTCAGACTGCGGTGGCTGCCGTGTTGCTGTGATGCTGTCACACCAGCAGGATCACCGAGTGGACAGCAGAGCTTCCAGATCAAGACTACTAAGAAGGACCAGGTCCACTTCCAAAAAGAAAATGGCCACTGACCACCTTATGAATAGCAGAGAAACACTGGTGTGGTGCCAGAGATGAGCCCCTCAGGTTGGCAGGCACCCAAAATATGACTGAGGAAGAGTTCCCTCCTCAAAGTAGAGTCGACCTTAATGACATGGATGGAGTAGAGCTTTGGGGACCTTGCTTTGCTGATGTGGCACCACTCAAAAGAAGAAAACAGCTGCAAACTTCCATTAATAATAGGAAAGTGGTATGGAGTATGAATCTAGGAAATTTGGAAGTTGTCAAAAATGAAATGTAACACATGAAGACCGATATCCTAAGTTTTAGTGGCTGAAATGGACTGGAATTGTCTGTTTTGAATCAGACAATTGTGGTGGATAAGTTTGTGTGTCAACTTGGCTGGGCCTGGTTGAGTAGCTTGGCAGCTGGATGTAGTATTCCCCAAGATCAGACTTATAATCAACTCCATGGTGGAATCTACTGTGAGCAGCTGAGTAGCTGCCTTAGGGAATGTGGTCTGCTTCTTGTATATAAGGAGAAGCCTTGGGGAATGGTCTCTAGCTTATGGCATGCTTGGACCCTGCATGTAGCCATGTCATTGTTCAGCAGCCTGCCATGCTCTGCCAACCTGGGGACTTACAATGGACTTGAATGAATGGTCTGCCGTGTGGTTTGGTAATATCGGGACTGCACCTTTTTACTTGTCATCCTTGGGCTTGGCAGCGTCGGCAGCCAGCAGCTGTCTGAGTGAAGAAAAGCCTCTAGCTTCAGTGGACCGGGAGCTGGAGGCAGAGCTGAAGCCCAAGGCTGAAGGGCTTTCACCCAGCTACTAGAGCTTAGCACTTTGAACTTGGACTTAAAGCCTCCAAATTGTAAGAATAAACTCCTGCTTGTTTAAGCCATCCCATTTGTGGTATATTCTTGTCAGAGCAGTACTAGGTAACCAGAACAATGATATGGTCTACTATGCCAGGAATGACAAAGAGGAATGGTGTCACATTCATCATCAAAAAGAATATTTCAAGATCAATCCTTCATGACGTACAATGCCGTCACTGATAGAATAATATCCATACGCTTATAAGGAAAACCAGTTAATACAACTGTTACTCAAATTCACACACCAACCACTAAAGCCAAAGATGAGGAGACTGAAGATTTTCACCAACTTCTGCAGTCTAAAACTAACCAAACATGCAATCAAGATAATATGGACAATTACTGGTGATTAGAATGCAAAAGTTGTAAACAAGCAGCATCAGCAGTTAGAAACTATGGCCATGGTGACAGAAATGACACCAGAGATCACATGATAGAATTCTGCATGACCAATGACTTATCATCACAAATAACTTTTTTTACAACATAAATGGTGACTATACACATGGACCTCACCAGATAGAATACACAGGAATCAAATTGACTACATCTGTGGAAAGAGACAATGGAGAAATTCAATATAATCAGTCAGAAGTAGGCCAGTGGCCGACTGTGGGACAGACCATCAAATGCTTGTATGCAAACTTAAGTTGGAGCTGAAAGAAATTAAAACAAGTCCACAAGAACCAAAATATGACCTCGAGTATACCCCACCTGAATTTAGGCACCATCTGAAGAAGAGATTTGCTGCACTGAACACCAGTGACCAAAGACCAAATGAGTTGTGGGAAGACATCAAGGAGATCATTCATGAAGAAAGCAAAGGTCATAAAAAAAAGACGGAAAAGAAGACCAAAATGGATGTTAGAAGAGACTCTGCAACCTACTCTTGAACAAGCAGCTAAAGTAGATGGAAGAAATGATGAAGTAAAAGAGCTGAACAGAACATCTCAAAGGGCAGCTCGAGAGGGCAAAGTAAAGTATTAGAATGAAATGTGCCAAGACCTGGAGTTGGAAAATCAAAGAGAAAGAGCACGCTTGGCATTTCTCGAGCTATAAGAACTGAAGAAAAAATTCCAGCCTCAAGTTGCAATACTGAATAGTTCTACGGGCAAAATATTGAACGATGCAGGAAACATCAAAAAAGATAGGAGGGTACACAGTCACTATACCACAAACAATTGGTTGGTATTCAACCATTTCAGGAGGCACTTATGATCAAGAACTGATGGTATTGAAGGAAGAACTCCAAGTTGCACTGAAGGAATTGGTGAAAACGAGGCTCCAGGCATTGATGGACTACCCATTGAGATGTTTCAACAAAGGGATGCAGAGCTGGAGGCACTCACTCATTTATGCCTAGAAATTTGGAAGACAGTTACCTGGCCAACCAACTGGAAGAGATTCATAATTGTGCCCATTCCAAAGAAAGGTGATCCAACAGAATATGGAAATTGTCTAACAATATTACTATCACACGCAAGTAAAATTTTGTTGTTGTTGTTGTTATATGCTGTTGAGTCGGCCCCGACTCATAGCGACCCCTTCTTGGGTTTCCGAGGCAGTATCACTATGGAAGTAGGATTGCCCAACCTTCCTTCCGAGGAGTGGCTGGTGGGTTTGAACTGCCAGCCTTCTGGTTAGCAGTCAAGTGCCTTAGGCACTATGCTACCAGAGCTCCCAAGTAAAATTTTACTGAATATAATTAGAAAATGGTTGCAGCTGTACATCAACAGGAACTGCCAGAAATTCAAGCCGGATTCAGAAGAGGCCGTGGAAAGTGGGATGTCATTGCTGACGTCAGATGGATCTTGGCTCAAAGCAAATAACACTAGAAAGATGTTTATCTGTGTTTTATTGACTATGCATAGGTATTCGACTGTGTGGATCATAACAAATTATGGATAACACTGAGAAGAATGGGAATTCCAGATACTTAATTGTGCTCATGAGGAACCTGCATATAGACCAAGGTACAGTTGTTTCAACAGAACAAGGGGACACTGAGTGATTTAAAATCAGGAAAGGTGTGTGTCAGGGTTGTATCCTTTCACCATACTTATTCAATCTGTATGGTGAGCAAATAATCCGAGAAACTGGACTA